GTATTCTCTATCTTCGGCCGACGAGACCCATCTCAAATAATCTTCGTCAAATTTGTCTTTCCTTTGTAATTGTCGCTCGTACTCGGCGGCGATGGCGTCTCTCTCCGATTGCTGAACAGAACTCATACGAATGAGTTCGAGACTTGCTTTCTGTTAATTGGCGAAGATTCTGTCTAAAGAAATCTTCCTGGGTTCAGATCGTCCGAAGGCGTTTCTCTGCATTAAGCTGATTAACTCCCCATAAAGACGAGTTAAGTGACCACGATTGGCGCTCACAGACCTTTTGAGGCTTAAACTTGACCTCTCTTCCGGTGGTCCCGGCGTGGGATGAGGAGGAGTTCGCGGATAACCCTTGGAGGACATTATATACGAGACCAGCAAAGCAATCTCAAATAAGGACTTGTGTATAAACTCATGTTGACACAAGGGAAACCAGTTTGGCTATTGAATTCGAAGATTTGAACTATGTACGATTCATTTACTTTTGAGACTCTTTTAATTGCGTAAGGTTCAAATCGTGAACAAATCCACACACAGAAATTACGCCAAACTGAGTAAATTAACTAACTGAACGGACGACTAAATTGACTTACGAATACACTTGGGACATTACATAAACAGAAAAACTAATGAAAGGTGAACGAAATGAAATAATTAATCTTACACAATCCTTCATTGCCTTTGTAATGTTTACTTCTTGTACACCCAGAGTATTTCAATAGAACAGCATGGCTTGTCTGATCAGCGTTGCGGCCAACACGTCCAACTTCTTGTATGTAGTCATCGATACAATTGGATGGTCCCATATGAAGTGCAAGAWAAGCACCTTTGACATTGACGCCCATTCCAAATGCTATGGTACAAAATATCACCCTCRCTGAACCATTTTCTTYGCAAAACTCCCTTTCGATGACTTCTTTCACAAGATTGTGGGTCTTCTTGTGATACATGCCAAACAGCCTAGTCCTATCATCCATTTTCTGGTTATCTGGTGTGAGACAATAGCTCTTCTCTCCTAAAGCTTCATGGAAAATTTCATACAGATCCTTGACATGAGCCCTTTTCCTACAGAATACCAGGACTTTCTGTGTGTTCACTTTTTTGGTAGCTAATTCATCAATAAGCCACTTGAATGAAGTGGAAAGATCATCTGGATCAACATTTGATATGGAGAACCTAATGTTTGCTTTATTTGGTAGTGTCAAAAGTTCTATGCAGTCCTTCATTGCCAAATTCTTAATTATCCTCTTTCTGACCTCATCTGTTGCTGTTGCTGTCAATACTACGAAAGGAGTACTTCTCTTCAGTATTGATCGAACCTCAGCTAGGCGGGAATAATCCTTCCGAAAGGCTTCTTCTACCCCATTAMCATGGCCCCTAGAGAAAAGGGATAAAATTTTTAAGCGAGAGAATCACGTTTYGCAATTATTATTAGAGATCAAAAGCGATTAAATCAWATTTWTGATTAAATACACTTACCATTTTACAACACAGTGACCTTCATCAATAAATACAGCATCTATTTTACTTTTCAGTGCAAATACAGTAACACRGTGGATTCCAAACAACGCTTCAGGACTTGTAAACACTAGGTTGTACTCGCCTTCTCTGACTTTACTTTCTTCTTCTTTTGTCAAATCGGGACCAACAACAACTGCTTTTATTCCCTTTTCACGTAGAATTGATACCTGATCCTTCATAAGGGACACTAAAGGAGCAATAACAAGGCAAACTGTATCGACAACTTCTCGATCGCCATTGTTCCAGTAGTCGATCACAAACGGAGCAATGTGGAACGTTAGACTCTTTCCTGATCCAGTTGGTGCCACCATCAATAYATCGTGTCCACTTATGTAGCCCTCTACAACCTTCCTTTGATGATCTCTAATTTCTTTAAATCCAAGTTTCTTTAAACCGAAGTCGATGGCTTTTCGAATATCCTTCATTTCGTAGTTGTTTATTAGCTTTGTTTGAGAGTTGTTTTGCGCCTCGCTGATCACGATGTATGACGTCACACGCYTGCGCTCTTTGATTGGACAATTAGAACTGACACACCTCCGACCAAAATTTAGGTCGGTAAAAAATGGCGCGCTGCAACAGGAAAAAGTCCGTTTTCCGGGAGATAAGCGAACCAGGAAAAACGGACTTTGAGAAAGTCTAAGACGTATGGTACAGACATTGAATAAGGAGCAAAAAGAATTTTTCTATCATGTACTACATTTAATAAAAACTTCTGGTGAGCCATTTTACTGCTTTCTAAGTGGTGGTGCAGGTGTGGGTAAATCACATGTTACCAAAGCCTTATACCAAGCTGCTTTGAAATATTATAACAGCAGACCTGGCGTTAATTTTGCTGAAACAAAAATACTTACGTTAGCACCCACAGGGAAAGCAGCATATAATATAAAGGGCAATACCATTCATAGTGCTTTAGCAGTACCAGCCTGTCAGTCATTAAAGAACTATAAGAAACTTAATTCAAGTAGGCTTAATACATTAAGATGTCAAATAGGTGGACTTAAGTTAATATTTGTAGATGAAATATCTATGGTTGGTAATACTATGTTTAATGTCCAATTCAATAATAGACTTAAAGACATCAAAGGCAGCTCGCTACCATTTGGTGGTGTTAGTATTGTTGCTATAGGAGATTTGTTTCAATTACAACCTGTAATGGATGGTTATATATTTAAAGACATGGATAATGATGAATATGGTGTTCTTGCACCTAATGTATGGCAAGAACYTTTCAAAAKGTTTKAACTTAAAGAAATCATGCGACAGAGGGAAAGCAAAGACTTTGCTGAATTAYTGAATAGATTAAGAGAGGGAAATCATACTAAAGACGATATAATCAAATTAAAGGAAAGAATTCTTAACCACACTAGTGCTCAGTATCCCAAAGATGCACCTCATTTGTTTATTCAAAATGCTAAAAGTCAATGACTTCAACGATAAAGCTCATAATGCTCTTCAGGGTCCAAAATACTCTATTAAAACACATGACACTGTCATTGGAGCAGATTCGGAAGAACTTAGAGACAAAATATTAAAGCAAATACCTAAAGATCCAAAACAACTGCATTCTGTTTTGCATTTGGCAATTGGTGAAAGAACAGAGATATCACTAAACACTAGAAATGATGATGGTATGACCAATGGTGCTGGTAGTGTCATAAAATTTATGCAAATACATGAAACAGACAAACCATCAGGTATTATATGGGTACAGTTTGATCATGCTGATGTTGGTCAAAAAACMAGGCATGATAATAGACAGCTACATGTATATGTCAATGATATTGAACCAACATGGACACCAATCAAACCTAKTAGCACTCAATTTGCTGTAGGTAGAACAAGATCTGTACACGTGATGAGAAAACAATTTCCACTTAGACCTGCTGCTGCTAAAACAATACATAGATCACAGGGTGATACTGAAAGTAGAATTGTAGTAAATTTTGAAACCAAAAGAGCCATTCCTCMCATACATTATGTAGGATTAAGTAGAGYAACAACKATAGATGGTCTATATATAACTGACTTATGTGAAAGCAAAATAGCTGTTAATACTGACGTCCAAACTGAAATGCATCGATTGAGAACTGAAGGAAAACTGTCACTTTCTGTTAGTCCCATATATGAAGCACCTCAAGCTAGTATTAAAATCTGTTTTCTCAATGCAAGATCATTGCACAAGCATATAGATGACATACGTCATGACKTAAATTACTCAAGCACTGATGTAAATWTTTTTTCAGAAACAAGATTTTTTCAGCATGAAAATGATGATTCATATCTATTAGATGATAAAAACTATACATTGTTCAGAAATGATGGTACACCAAGACAAAATGTAAGGCCATATGGAGGTACAGCAGTGTATAGCCGTCTTGACTATTACCCAGGATATCCATTTTGTAGTAATATACATGGTGTAGAAATA